AGTGTGGAGACAGATAATAAGGAAGTAAAGAAATGGTCATTTTCAAGCATGGTAACTACTATGAAAATAAAGCAGAAAGTCGGGATTCCTGGCCAGTGCACCACATATGGAGACGTGCGGGTTGCTATGATGCTGAACAGGTTTTCAGACTAAGACCTGCAGATCTGCTTCCAGAAATCAGGCAATGAAAACCCCATGGATCCCAGTGGCCTGATCGGGATCCCACAACGATCGGGAGACTGGCACAGGGCGCGGTGGCGTTTCATTCCTATGTGTGTGGTTCACAAGGAGTCGGGGGTCCAGCTAACAATTTCAGGTGGTTGGCTTTGTTGCCTGAGCAGCGCCCCGCCCTGCCTCCTGAGCTTCAGTTTCTTCATCTGTAGAGGGGCTGTTGAGTCTTCTGTGTGTGGTATCTCCTGGCTCCCTGCCTGGCATGTTCTGTCCCCTTCTCCTGGCCTCAGGGAAGGAGAGCCACTGTGGACATGGCCCTCTCTGAGAGGAGAGGAGTCTGTCTGTCTCTTCCTCCAGGGGGAGGACTGGGGCCTTGGAAGGGTGAGCTGGAACTGAGGGGTCCAGAGATGGATGTGAGGTGAGTGCACTGGCTGACTTACCTTCACTGATAAGCAAAGGGTGATGGTTTTGTTATCTGGCAATGCAGTTGTTCTGAGGAAGCAGCTGCTTACCGGGACTTCTAATGCATTGCACCAAAGCCGCCCTCAGATATGAGGAGAACCAATGAAAGGGCTTTTTTAGGGCCAGCCCCACGCCCATCGTGCAAGTGTCCTTACTTTGTAGATGAGATTGGGACCGTGGTGGGGGCCTCAGCTCTGGAACCCGCACTCTTGCAGTAACACTTCTGCTTTTTCTGAAAACATACCAGGAGACTTCAAGAAGTTTGTGGGAAAAAGGAATGAAAAGATAATGGAAATTTCCATGAACCTTTTGAAGCCCTGCATGCTTGCTCTGATCCTTGCTTTCATTGGTTGCTGTCAGTGGATTCTGATCCCATGTGATAGAAAGGAGAGTTGCCCTAGAGGGTTCCCGAAACGGAACTTTCAAAAGCAGATCACCAGACTTGTGTTCCGAGGCACCTCTGTGTGGGTTTGAACTACCAAGTTTTCAGCTAGTGGCTGAGCACTTTACTGTTTGCACCATGCAAGGATGCTTGTCCTTTTTGGCTCAGCCAAGGGAACAGGCATTTAGAAAAATAACAACCCTGGGCCCAGTTTTACTTTGCCAGTCTGTTCTGGACACAAATAGTACAAATGGACTTGAGGCCAGGGGTGTGGTACGGAGGCGGGATAACACTGGCAATTACTGCTGGGAGATACTTTGTGGGGGAGGGGGGGTTGATTTGTCATGTTTCCCTTCAAAAAAATTTTTTTTTAGATTTTCTGAACAAAAAATTGAGAGAATAAATAAATGAATATTTCTATATTCTCAACCCAGATTCACTAGTCTTCACATGTTGCCTCATTTGCTTTCTCAGTTTTTATATATGTTGTTGTGCTCTGTCAAGTCGGTTCCGACTCATAGTGACCCTGTATATGGTTTCTGAGACTATAAATCTTTACGGGAGCAGAAAGCTTCATTTTTCTTCTGTTGGAGAGGCTGGTGGACTTGAACTGCTGACCTTGCAGCAAGCAACCTAACATGTAATCCACTACGCCCCCAGAACTCTTTTATAAATAGATATGTGTGTGTGTAGAGGAGGGCTAATTGTGCTGTAGGATAAGCCCTGGGCTGCTAACCTCAAGATCAATAGTTCTAATCTACCAGCCACTCTGCAGGAAAAAGATGAGGCTTTCTGCTCCCATAAAGATCGGCTGCCTCAGCAACCCTATACAGCATCGCTGTGACGGGGAGCCAATTCAAAGGCTCCCTCCTGACAACATGTGTTGTTGTTAAGTCTTCTTAAGTGCAATTTTCTTCTTCTGAACGATCTGGAAATGCATCATTAATGATGCACCTTCGGGTATGGTGCAAATGGCTATAGTGTACTCGGTTCCTACCTTAAAGGCTGAGGTGTACTACCGAGAAACGCCTTGGAAGACAGCCCTTGGGTGACTGACTTCTGAAAAGCCAGCCACTGAAGATCCTATGGAGCTCATTTCTACTCTGACACGCATGGGACCCCATGAGTTGGTGTTGCGTTGATAATAAGTTTTTGTGCGTGGGGTTAGACCCACTTAGAACAGGGGTGGGGAATGGGCTGTGTAAAGCCTGGAAATCATTTGGTCTGGCATTGTCAGGGCAGCCGCAGTTCCGGTCATCACATTGATGGTGGTTATGTGCTATGGAGTCAGTTCTGACCCATAGTGACCCTGTAACAACATGTAAATATATATACTTAACGATAACATATATATGTATATGTGTTCGATGGCACTTAACAACAACAAATATATATTTGGTGGTGGTGGTTGTGTGTCGTGGAGTCGGTTTAGACTCACAGAGACAATGTATATGGTCTCTGAGGCCGTAAATCTTATACGGGGAGCAGAAAACCTCATCTTTCTCCTGAAGAACTGCTCGTAGTTTCAAACTGCTGACCTTGAGGTTAGCAGCCCGACTTGTTAAGTGCTGTTGAGTCAGTTCCAACCCATAGTGACCCTGTGTAAGGTTTCCGAGGAGCAGCTGGTGAGCTTGAACCACTGACCTTGCAGTTCAAACGGCTTTGCAGCCACACATTGTTGTTTTTGTTGTGAAGTGCCACCACACATTAGGGGTAAGTCAGTTAATTGTTTGACCAAATACAGCAAGCTAGTTTTTAAGTTGATTATTTTGTATGGCCCACGAATGATGTTATAAATTTTGGCAGAAAAAAGATTCCCCACCTCTGACCTAGAAACAGCCCTGGGGTCGACATGCGTTACACGTTATATTGCAAAGACTTGTGTGGTTGTTATGTGCAGTGGAGTCGGTTCCAACTCATAGCGACCCTGTACAGGGTTTCCGAGGCTGTAAATCTTTACGGGAGCAGAAAGCCTCATCTTTCTCCCATGGAACAGCTGGTAGTTTCGAACTGCTGACTGTGGGATTAGCTGCTCGATTGCTCAGAAATACCTATGGAGCAATCTTATTCTGTCCTGTAGGGAGAATCTTTAGGAGTTGGAATGACTGATGGCAGTGGGCTTGGGGTTTGAACTTTACCTCTGGAATTTATTCTTTGGCCTTGATTCCTCAAAGAGAACCTCTAAAATCATGCGAATTCCCCATTTGATGAGGGCTCCACACCATGCCTTATATAACAGGTATGCTAATGAGGCCACAGGAGCACAGTGGCTTTCTAGGATAAGCACTGGAGTGTGAACCATAAGGTTGGCGATTCGAGCCCAACTTTCTGCTCCTGCAAAGATTGACAGCTTCAGAAACTCTACATAGGCTCATTATGAGTCAGAACTGACTCGACAGCACTTACCACCAACAACAATAACGAAGTGACTGTTGGGTGGGGGCTGGCTAGACCAGAAAGACCCACCACTATAGTGGGTGTCAGCTGCCCTCAAGGGTTAACTATCCAATCCATCATGGCTCAAATAAAAATCCAAATTAAACACACTGCTGCAAGTCCATTCTGACACTATAGAACAAAAGAAGAGCTGTCCCATCAAGTCTCTCAGGCTATAATCATTACAAAAGCAGCCTGTCACATCCTGCAAAGCAGCTGGTGTAGCATTGTAGAATTAGCACTGGGCTGCTCCTCAAGGTCAGCAGTTCAAGCCCACCGGCTGCCCCTCAGAAGCCCTATACAGGGTCCCTCTGAGTCTGAACCGACTCGATGGCACTTAATGACTTCAACAACAATTTTCTAAAGTAAAAATGCGTCAGATGAAATTAAATTTTTGAGAAGAATGTGTATTTACCCTCATAGAACCGACTCGACGGCACATAACAACCAGGACCTTCACATCTACTAGTAGGGAACTGAATGTGGGGCCAGCAGGCCAGAGTGAGGGTGTCCTGGGAATTCCCAAACTTGTGGTTGGTTTGGGCTGACCATTAATTTCGAGGACTTTGTTCTTTAACTTGTGAGCTCTGATCTAGCTTTGGGTGGCTGGGATCAGAATAGGAAGGGAAGAGAATTTTGTATTTGCTTTGTTGTTTTAAAGAATTTCTTGTGCTTTCGGTGAAAGTGTACACAGCAAATTAAGTTCTTGCTTAACTTAAGCACCGGTGCACAAATTGTTCAGACTCGGTTACGATTTTCTTTATGTGTGAGCACTCACCCCATTCGGGTGGTTCTGTTTCCAGTCATTTGGTTTCTGTGCCCTTTGCATGTAGATGCATTTTTAAAAGAGTGTAGCACCTTGGGGGAAAGTCTTTATTTTATAAGCCAAATCTGTTATTTAGCTAACGGGTGACCGCCAGGGATAGTTTCGGTCAGGGGACTTGCTTTGTTTGGTTTGGCTTCACATTACATCCTAAAATGCCTTTTCCATGAGGGATTCATCTTCAGTATTGATTTGGTGTATGCTATGGTGTCTGTAAGGAGCTCTGGTAGCGTAGTGGTTACGAATCGGGCTGCTAACCTGAAGGTCAGCAGTTCGAAACTACTAGCAGTTCCACGGGAGAAAGATGAGACATTCTGCTCCTGTAAAGATTTACAGCCTCGGAAACCCTGTGCAGGGTCACTATGAGTTGGAACCGACTCCACGGCACATAACAACAACAACAACAATGGTGTCTGTGGTGTTCCTGGTCTGGTAGGAACAATGGCTCTATCTGTGCCTGCCAGGCGCGTCTCTCTGGAGGGCACCTTTTCCCTACGCCCTCAAAGATGCCACACGGCTGTGCACAATCCCTTGTCAGGAGCCCAGTGAGCCTACATCAGGGCTGAGACACACCTCACTGTGCCACTGGAGGTGGGCACTGAGGGCTCTGGCTGGAGAGAGTGTTCGGGGCTGGATTGAGGGACCTCCCATGTGATGTCTCCAAGGAGTCAGGGACGAGCAGGCAGCAGTGGGTCCCAGCCTCACTACCTACCCCTCGCTTCCCAGGATGCCTTCCGAGCCTTCCACCCCAACTTGCATTTTGTACAAAAGTTCATGAAGCCCCTGCTGATCGGAGAGTTGGCCCCGGATGAGCCCAGCCAGGACCGTGGCAAGAACGTGAGTTGGGGCAGGGACTGAGGAAGGAGGGGACCCCGGGTGGGGGTGGGAGGTTCTGTGCCCATCTTGGAGAAGGGGTCCTGCTCAGGGTTCCATTTTCCTCTTCCCTCCCTCCCTTTTCACAAAGGTGCCAGCTGCTGGTCTGGGAGAAAGACCATGAGAAACACAAGAGGGCAGCAGATAGTGCTGCTGTGTGGGGAAGGGCCCGAGGGAGCCGCCAGGAAGCACCTCTCAGAAGGAACCACTACTCCTTAGCTATTTGCTCCTGGTCCACAATGGAGTAACATGGCCCTTCCCAAAAACCTCCTCCTCATGAGCAGCGTGTGCAGGTCTGTGTCAGGCCCATGACCCTATAGTGGTGCCAGGGTGCAGGACTGAAGCTGGCACCATGGGAATCCCTGCTTCACTGCTCATGGCGATGGTGCAAACCCACTTCACCTATCTCCCTGAGGTTGTGCCTACCTTGGTACCAGCAGACAGCTGGGCCCCTTGGCTGGCTCTGCCTTAGGAAGATAATTCTTTCAGAGCTCCTTCCTCTCATTCCCGCTCCCAGCAAGCGCTGCCTCCTCTTGCTGACCCCCACCACCACCCTCCAAATAATTCACCTGGGAGTGGGAATGGCATCTCGGTGAAGCCAGACTGGGCACAGGGGTTCAGTATTGTCCAGTGGCCTCCCCATGGTGTCTGTCTTCCTCAGGCCATTCCGCACATGCTGCTCTCCCCTTCCCTCTATACCTTGGTCCTCACCCCTTGTTCAAGTGACCTCCAGGTTCTATCCCTCCTTCTCCATCCCCTTTGATCCTCCCCAACCCTCATCTAGGCTTCCCCTTCCTAACCTTGTTTTGCTCATCCCGGGAGAGCGCCTTCCCTGCCTGTCACCCAGCTCAGTCTTCCTCCACCCACGCAGGAGCAGGACAGTGCCCCCTGAGGCCCGTGATGGTGTCCCTTTGTCTCCGCCTGCCCCTGCCTCCTCACTTCCCTCTTCTTCCCAGCAATACAACCATTTCTCCAGAGCCATTCCTGGCTTGCCTCTCACTTTGGGGTTTGTATATCACGTTATCCTGTTTGTATCTCTCTCACCTCAGTCCACAGGTAGAGAGGCAGTGGAGGAGGGGAAAAAGCAAAATCACTGTCAAACCCTTTCCCTGCCATGGAGCCAGGTGTGGGCAGGGCCATGCCGGTAACAAGGCACATGGCAGCCACTGTCGCTGTCCAAGGCTTGGCTGGGAATGGTGACTGACTCCCTTCCCTGGGCTCTTGTTGGACAGTCTCAGATCACCGAGGACTTCCGGGCCCTGAGGAAGACAGCGGAGGACATGAATCTGTTCAAGACCAACCACCTGTTTTTCCTCCTCCACCTGGCCCACATTGTTGTCATGGAGAGCATCGCCTGGTTCATCGTCTCTTACTTTGGCAATGGTTGGATTCCAACCTTGGTCACGGCCTTCATCCTTGCTACTTCTCAGGTGAGGCGTGATACCCTCAGCTGTCTCCAGGAGCCTGCCCGCTCCTCCTTTCCATCTTGTAGGGGTGTATTGACGGACTCGGTGATGGGATCTGTGGCCCTCTCTCCTCAGGCTCAAGCCGGGTGGCTGCAACATGATTATGGCCATCTTTCTGTCTACAAGAAGTCCAGATGGAATCACATAGTCCACAAGTTCGTCATTGGCCACTTGAAGGTAAACATCAGCAGCTCTGGGTGTCCCATGGGGTAGAGAGTGAGGCTGTACCGTTCATTGCGCTCTGAGACACGGCAGAGCCCCTCTGTTCCTCTGTGCCCGGGAACCACAGTGTGGCCTCACTAGTTACAAAGCCCAGCACATGCCTCTTTTGTTGACTCAGCTGATGCCCCTTATCTAAGGAATTGGACTCCTGGTGTGGTGGTGTGGGTTAATGTGCTGGATTGCAAACCGCAAGATCGGTGGTTCAAACCTAGCAGCTACTACTCAGAAACCCTATACAGGTTGGCTAGGAGTCAAAGCCGACTCCATGGCCCCAAATCACCACCATCATCTAAAGAATGATTGGGAACACTTGTGGCTCAGGGGTGGAACTCTTGCCTCCCATGCAGGAGACCCAGGTTCAGGTCCCAGGCAGCAGGCCTGTCTGTGCAGTCAGTGGAGGCTTTTGTGTTGCTCTGATAGCGAACAGGTTTCAGCAGCACTTCCAGACTAAGACTAGGGAGAAAAGCCTGGTGATCTAGCTCTGAAAATCAGCCAGTGAAAGTCATCTGATTATGCGGGTTGCACAGGGCTGAGTAGTGTTTTTAAGCATTGGACTGCTAACCGGAAAGGTCGATGGTTCAAATTCACGAGCTGTTCCGAGGGAGAAAGATGAGCCTGTTTGCTCCCATGAAAGCGTGCAGTCTTAGAAACCCTACAGAACCTTTCTGTTCTGTCCTATAAGGTCGTTATGAGTTAGAATCGAATTAACGGCAGTGGGTTATGGGAGCGGTGTTGTGTCCTTTGTGTAAGAGGTCGATGAGCTCAGCACTGGACTTTGAACCACAAGGTTGGCGGTTCAAACCCACCAGCTGCTCCTTGGAAACCCTATACAAGGTTGCTATGCATTGAATCCGATTCGATGGCACTTAACAACAACAATAATAATCCTAGAATTTATCTAATTTATTAAGAGTCCTTAATTTGGGGCGATTTCTCTTAATGAATTGGTATGCTTCCTTTCATTGGGTAATGTAAGTTATTTACCTGGGAGGCATAAAGTTAAGCGCTCAGCTACTAACTGAAAAGTTGCCCATTTAAATCTACACAGGTGTCCCAGAAGACAGTCCTGGTAATTTGCTTTCAAAAAGGGCAGAGCCATTGGATCATGGGGTTGGCGTGATTCAGAATCGGCTCGGCAACAACTTGGTTAGAATTTTGTTTGCTGAATTGGTTGCTTCTTCTTTTTGTCTTTGAGGGCCAGGGGAGTGCAAAGCCAGGTTTTCTAACAGCGATTCTCCTTAGTCTAAATTTTGGTGGACAATTCTTATCCTCCCCTCCCATTACATGCCATATAGGCTTTGATCTGTAGAGGAGTGATTCTGCTGCAGATGAGTCCTTTACCATAGCAACAACCCAGCCCACTGCAATCAAGGCGACTCAGACTCAGAGAGACCCTACAGAACAGTAGAACAGCTCCATAAGAGTTTCCGAGCCTGTACATCTTTACGGGAGCAGACAACCCTCATCTTTCTCCCAAGGAGTGACTGGTGGGTTTGAACTGCTGACTTTGGAGTTAGCAGCCCACCACTTAGCACACTGGGCCATCAGGGTTGAGTCCCGTAACTCACCAGCTGTCTCAACTATTTTTTGAAAGTACGTAGGGTCTGAAAATTACGTACTGTTAGTACCAAAGTCCTTCCAGATCTGATCCACTGTGCCGTTTAAAATCAGCGGGTGAGGTCGTTCTGCTCGTACCATCCTGTGGCGGGTGACGGGGGTCAGGGGGCAGACCTGTAGCAGCGGTACAGCGTTGCAGGTTTGTACAAAGAGAAGCTGGATTTACCGATGATCTTGTGCTGATCTCTGCCATTCCTGTCCCAGCGGCATCGAGCTGCTTCCCGGGAAAAGCCGGATGTAAACGAGCTCAAACGTCGCAGCAGTGGTTGGGAGGATGATGCAGGCCGCGCCAGTGGTTTCTTCTGCTGCACAGAAGGTCGCTATGAGTTGGTGCTTACTAACCACAACCACCACAAAGCCTGCCTTAGGAGTCCCTGGCTGGCACAAACAGTGAAGTGTTCCTCTCCTAGCCAAGGTCGGTGGTCTGAACCCACCCAGAGGCATGTCAGACAAGTCTGGCAATCTGCTTCTGAAAGGTCACAGCCTTCAAAGGCCTTCGGGGCAGATGTGCTCTGCACACGTGGGGGCGCCTTGAGTCGGAATGGGTTCAACAGCAGCCAGCCATTTAGAACCCCATCCGGGCAGAGAGGAGCTTGTGGGAGCCAAGTGTCACCCTTGTGCAGCCTGCGCTGGACCCTCAGCTTTGGGGTGAACCCCCCCTAGGAGCCAGTGGCCAGTCGGAAGCCAGCAGTTTGCCTGGCCATGAGCCCCAATCAGTCCGAGAAGCTGGCTTCTTCCCAGCGTTTCAGAGGGTGCTGCATAGTAGAGCTCTTTGTTTCGTGTAAGGATCCTTTCTGTTGGATAAGACTCTCTTCAGAATTAGAAAGTAACGTTTTACTCCAGACCCATGGTATCCCCCACCCTCAACAAAGATGGGCTCTGTTCTGCTCCCAGAGCCTGGGCTGGGCCCAGGACAGCCTTTCCCACCCCGTGGCCCTCAGTCCCCAAGTGCCTTAGAGCACAGCGTCTGTGTCAACAGGAAGACAAGGCCGACAGAGAGGACTGACCGCCATGCAGAATGTCTGCTTGTGACATCAGAACCCTGGAATGATGGGAAACAGGGGACTTGGCTCAAGAAGCCTGCTAGCTATGTCCTTGATGTACCTGGGAGCCAGGCTTCCTGGAAGATTACAGCTTACCCCGGGGCCCTGGTGGCTCCACAGTTCAGCCTGTCAGCCTGGGTTCCCTTCTCTCACCAACTAAGATGTTCTCACAAGCTACTTCGGGCAGTGGGCAGGGTGCCTGGGGCTTCAGGGTCAGGTCTACATGGTCAATCTATGTGTAGAAGGCGTTCATGCCTCAGTTCTTCATATCCTGATTTCCCCCTTCCCTCTGGGCTGTTTCTTGTCTTGTGGGCATTTCTCCCAATCAGTTTCCAGCACTTACAGCTGCATAGACCCCGCGATTTCAGGGCATTGCCTTTGAATTCTGACTCTGAGAGCCACCCACGCCCTTTAGACTGTACGTATCTGTATGGGGAGACACTGACCTTTCTGCAGCTTCACTGGGGGAGCCGAGAGTCACTCAGCTAGTGTGCAGAATTTCAGGGGACCCCAAAACCTACAGCAGTCCAGTTAATAATGGTTTGGGTTTTTACTTGTGGTAGAAATTGACGCAGCAGAACACTCCGCCTTTCACCAGTTTCTGCATGTCTGAATCAGGGACACTGATGAGCTTCTCTAGATTGTGCGGCCATTCTGTTTGTTATTGTCTTGTTGTTGTTGTTATGTGCTGTCGAGTCAGTTCCGACCCATAGCGACCCTGTACAGGGTTTCCAAGGCTGTAAATCTTTACGGGAGCAGAAAGCTTCATCTTTCTCCAGCGGAGCGACTGGTAGTTTCGAACTGCTGACCTTAAGGTTCACAGCCCAATTCGTACCCACTACGCTACCACCCCATGGCAATACGTCGATTGATTTCTTTCAAGCTTTTTATTAAGGAGGGCAAGTTTTCAGAGCAGATCATCAGTTTTACATTCAACAAATCATATAATTTGATTCATTCCAATGATTTGTATAAATAGTCTTGCTATGTTTTTTTTCCAAAGGACTTCACTCAGTGCCTCTAAACAAAAACTTCACCTTCCCTGTCTACCCCCTTGGTGGCGGGCGTGGGGCTGGTTGTCTGTGTGTCCAGTTGATTCCTACTCATAAAGACCCCAGAATACAACTGCGCATAGAGTTTTATTGGCTGTCATTTTTACAGTCGAATTAGCTCTGGATAGCCAACCACAAAGTCAGCGGTTCAAGCCCACCTTGGAAACGGTTCAAGCTCCTTGGAAACCCTACACAGGGTCACTGAGTCGGAACCGACTTGACTGAACTTCACAACAATACCAACGTGCCACTCTCTATATAGAGCACATTTTGTTTATCCATTCATCTGTTGGAGTTCTGGTGAGGTGCTGTAGTGTAAACAATGGACTGCTAATCTCAAGACTGGTGGTTCACACCCACCACCCTCTCCTCAGAAACCCTATAAATATACAAGTTTGCTGTGAGTTGGAACTGACTTTGACATTTCACAACAATTTATCTATTGATGGATGCCAAATAGTGATTTAATGCTATATATTAAAAATAAAAAATAAAAACAAGAGAAACTCATAATGAACAAAATATCAAAAGTTTTGATAAATACCAAGCTTTAAAAAGAACTTGATATAAAAAGAACAATATATATGAGCCCTGGTGGCACAGTGGTTAAGTGTTTGCTGCTAACCAAAGGTCAGCAATTCAAATCCACCTGCTGCTCTTCGGGAGAAAGATGAGACCATCAGCTTCCGTAAAGATTTATAGCGTTAGTAACCCTATAGGACAGTTCTACTCCACCACAGTGAATTCGGTGGTTTGGGTTTGTATATGTTTTTTTTTTAATGGTTGGTATTTTTTTCCAGAACATTAAAGTAGTTGAGAAATATTTAGTCAATGTATTAAGAATTACCCTATTTAAGTTTAAATGTAAGTTATTTATGCCCAAACAGACTGTATTATATACTTTTACTTACTTAAATGCATCAAAAATTAATTAAAATTGTCACTTAGTTGAGAGAAATGCTCAAACACGGCAGTTTTCTCAGCATGAAAACAAGATGACCAAAAAAATAAGAGTTAAAAAATATTATTGGTGAGTTTGTTTCCATTGAAGCTAAGGGTGTCTGTTTGCTTCAGACTCTGAGACATGCACTTGGGTCCCCGGCTCACCATGTTACCCTTGTTTGGTGTCTAGAACAATCCCTGCTCTCCTGTATTCTCTGGTCACCTTCTGCTTCTCTGATTCTGTCAACTGCCCTCTTCCTTTCTCCTTCTCAGCTCCATCTTAGCTTGGTGTGACACTGGACTGGCCCTCACCAGTCGGAAGCTCCCTGAGGGCAAGGGCTATGTGTCATGTCATCACTTCCTCCCGGGCCCAGAGCAAAGGCAGCCCCAAGGCAACCTGGGAATACAAAGGGTGTCATTGTCCCTGGATAGACAGGGCTTGAAGGAGAAACGAAGATTTGGCTGATGAAGACAAGAAGGTGTCCGGGCAGAAAAAGAACCTAATCAAACCCATTGTCCTCAATTCAATCCCGACTCAGAGCTAACCTCACTTGTTACAGAGTAGGACTGAGCTCTGGAGAGGTTTCTTGGGTCCCAATGTGATGCAAACAGTTTGGAAGCAGAAAGTCTGGCGGCTCGAACCCACCCAGCAGCACCGCAGAAGAGGCCTGGCGATACACTTCTGTAAAGATTGTTGTTGTTGTTGTGTGCCGTGGAGTCGGTTCCGACTCATAGAGACCCTGTACAGGGTTTCTGAGGCTGTAAATCTTTACAAGAGCAAAAAGCCTCATCTTTCTCCCACGGAACAGTAGTTTTGAACTGCTGATCATGAGATTAGCAGCCTGATTTGTTGCCACTATGCTACCCAGAGCTCCTTACAGCCATGAAAACCCTGCATTCTACCACATGGGTCTCCCTGAGTCAGAATCAATATGATTGGTGGGTTTGAACCACCAACCTTGCCTGAAGCAGTCCATTGTTTATAGGTAGTTTGTTGTTGTCAAATTGGTTCTAACTCATAGTGACCCTGTATAGGGTTTCAGAGGAGTGGCTGGTGGGTTTGAACTGCTGACCTTGTGATTCACAGTCCAATGTTGATCCTACAGCACCACAGCAGGTGGTGGTGCTGGTGGTTGTATGGCTTAGTCGGTTCTGACTCATAGAGACCCTGTATAGGATTTCCAAGGCTGTAAATCTTCATAGAAGCCCAGAAACAACAAAAAAAAAGTCCCTCATCTTTCCTCCGTGGAGCCGCTGGTAGTTTCAAACTGCTGACCTTAAGGTTCTCAGCCCGATTTGTAACTACTACGCTACCAGAGCTCCTTACACTAAGAGTTGTTGTTGTTGTTGTTATGTGCCATCGAGTCGGTTCCGACCCATAGCGACCCTGTACAGGGTTTCCGAGGCTGTAAATCTTTACGGGAGCAGAACGCCTCATCTTTCTCCCGCGGAGCGGCTGGTAGTTTCGAACCACTGACCTTGCGGTTCGCAGCCCGATTCGTAACCACTACGCTACCAGAGCTCCTTTAGTAGTCAAGTGCAAATCATTTACACTACCAGGAATCAGGCCGAAAACAGCACAGACACAAAATGTTTGTGACTGCCTCACCTCGACCTATTGCAAGTGGTCTTCCTGACCCACCTTTCTTCCCTTTGCTTATTCATCCAACAAGCACCTACTTCTGGGTATTTTCTAATCATTATTCTTATTTGTAACTTGCCTTGTCCTTCAACTTCTCTGTGCTGACAACTTCCATTTGATTCTTCCCAGGGTGCTTGTCCCTTAAGACTTGAAACTTTACTGTGTCTTCTGATTGGTTCCTCAGTCCTTGAAGCTCTCACCCCCTGACATATTTATGCTCTGACTGGTTTTGAGACCAAACTGCTCGCAGGGCCTGAATTCATCGCTGAGTCCACAGCTGTTCACAGCTCTCTCTACCTGTGACTGTTGGTGTCTGGAAGCAGAATCTTCAGATCCCACATTTATGCTAAAAGCATCATCACCCAAGTGCAATACTTGTTGTAGCAAATGACCGGCCCCTCAGACAAAGCATTGCTCCAGTGAGATTTCCCCCATAAAGCCCTGAGTCTCTTTCCTTCTATATGGTACTGAGCAACTTTGTGGAGAGACACAGTTCAGCAAAAGTGTCAAAGGCTTGAGGTGGGAGATAGAAATAAATGGCCACATCATGCTTATCTCACACCAGTTGGTGGTGGAGTTGACCTGACTCATAGTGACCCCACATGTGTCAGAATAGAACTGTGCTCCGTAGCATTTTAAATTGCTGATTAGTCGAAAGCAGATTGCCAGCCCTTCTGAGGCCCCTGTAGGTGAACTCGAACCTCCAACCTTTCGGTTATCTGCACCACTCAGGGACTCGTTTTGTTTTGGGGAATCGTACCTTCAATACTGTTCTCACAGTAGTGTGTCTGGCTGTTGGATGTCACCATGAACTCTCAGAGAGCAGCAACCATCTAACTTTTACTTCAATAGCTTTGTTGAGATACCTCACAAATTCTCATACCTCACAAGTCACCCATGGAAGGATTATACAGTCCCTGGCATTTGGTGTCTTCACAGCCATCACTATGTCAAATTTAGAACATCTTTCTACCCCACAAAGAAACATCTTAACCATCAAACCCCAAATTCTCACCACTGAAAACCCTAGCCAGCCTCTCGTCTACTTTCTCTCTCTTGATTTTTCGTCTTCTTGGCCCTTCATATAAATGCTGTCTGTAGTATCTGGCTTCTTTCAATTTGCAGCATGTTTATCCTTGTAGCAGATCTTCGTCCTTCATTCCTTTTTATGGCCAGATTTTATCCTATTGTATAAACAGACCCAAGGCAGCCTTCAGGTCCATTCTCAATCACAGCGACCCTATGGGACCGAGCAGAACTGCTCCACAGGGTTGTTATGGTGTTATATTCGGTTCCGACTTATAGCGACCCTGTACAGGGTTTCCGAGGCTGTAAATCTTTACAGGAACAGAAAGCCTCATCTTTGTCCTATGGAACAGCTGGTAGCTTAGAACTGCTGATCTTCAGGTTCACAGCCCAATTCATAACCACTACGCTACCAGAGTTCCTTTATATATATATGTGTGTGTGTGTGTGTGTGTGTGTGTAGAGAGAGAGAGATTAGAGAAAGAGGCTTAAATTTTACAGAAGCAGACTGCCTCATCTTTGTGCCAAGGAGGAGCTGGTAGTTTCAAACCACCAATCTTTTAGTTAGCAGCCTAATGCTTATCCCACTACACCACCAGGCTTCCTATTGGGCATGTTGTTCAGTGCCATCGAGTCGGTTCCAACTCATAACAACCTGGTATAGCGCTTCCAAGGAGCAGCTGGTGGGTTTGAGCTGCCAACCTTGTGGTTCACAGACCAGTGCTGATCCTATAGTTCCCTATTGGGTATACCACATTTTATTGATCCATTCATTCACCAATTAATGGACATTTGGGTTGTTGCCACCTTTAGGCGATTGTGAATAGTATTATAGTGCACGTTTGTCTACAAGTTTTTGTGGATCTATTTTCATGTCTTGGGTATGTGCCTAGGAGTGGAATTAGTGGTTCACATGAGGAAGGCTACTTATTACTGTCCTGAAAGCCCGTCTTCCTGTATGACAGCCAGCCTAGAGGACATGCAGTGAGTGTAGAAGAGGACCCTCTGGGGTCTCCTTGAGAGGCAGAGACCACCCCCACCTGCTGATGCTCTCACCATGCAATCCAACACCAGCTCTCCTTACCTGCAGTCACCATTTTATGACTGAGGAAACTCAGACCTCGTGGGATGGAGTGGCTTGAATCCATTCTGTAGTCTTGGTCACAGGGGTTGGCCAGTTGGCTGCCTGAGGCACCATGGCTCCTGGAGAAGTCGGTGCTGAGTGTTGGATGCTGGAAACAGGTCCTGAGGCAGCGGCCTGTTGAAGGGGAGCTCCGATGAATGGCCAAAGATACTGCTCACCTCCTATCCCCTCTCCCACAGGGTGCCTCGGCCAACTGGTGGAACCATCGCCACTTTCAGCATCACGCCAAGCCCAACATTTTCCACAAGGACCCAGATGTGAACATGCTCCACGTGTTTGTCCTGGGCGAGTGGCAGCCCATTGAGGTAGGACGAGCCATGTGGACTTGGGAAGTGTTTGGCCTGTGTGGGGAGTCTCCCAGGTTGGGTATGCACAGCTGGATGCGTCCACATCTGACCACCCAGAAACCTTTCCTAGACGCCCTAGATAACTCCAGGGGAAATGTGTGTGGAACGGCCTCAGGCTTAAATAATGGCTGCACCTCCTTGTCCAAGTGGTCAGGGAGGAGTGGCTCCTGGCTTGTTTCTTCTTAGTTGTGGCTCATCAGCTGCCCGTTGAGTTGACCCTTCACTCACTGTGACCCCATTCACAGTGGATCGAAACACTACCTGGTCCTACGCCATCCCCAGGGTCGCGCGTCAGACTACCGTGATTCACAGGGTTTACGATGACTGTTTTCAGAACTAGATTGCCAGGACTTGCTTTATCACCTATTTGTGGAGCAGGTTGACTAGACTGTCCCAAGGAGCCCCCTGAGGAAGGCTCCAACTGTCCAAGTAAGGCTTTCTGGATGTGAGCTGGCCTGCTGGGAGACCAAGATTACGCCCTGCAACCAGCCCTTCCTGCTAAGCTGGAGTCAATTTTCCCTCTACTTTGGGCAGAAACTGGAGGTTTGGTGGTAGAATTCTTAGACCCATGTTCGATTCCCACCAGTGCAACTCATACACAGCCCCCATGTCTGTCAGTGGATACTTGCAAGTTGCTATGATACTGACCGGGTTGCAGCATTGTACTGTATTTATATTATTGATTTTTGTTGTTGAAAAAATATGCACAACAGAACATGAATTCTCTAATGTCTGCAGCTGCTATTCAGTGACATTGATGATTATTTTTCAAGTTGTACAATGATTCTCAGTCTCCATCTCCAAGATTTTCCTCCCCATTCACATAAACCCACTGCCCACTAAGCTTCCTGTGGAACTCTTTGAATCGGTGTTCCCAATTTGATCCCAGTCTGTTTGAACTCCAAGGTCGGCAGTTCAAACTCACCAGCCGCTCCTTGGAAACCCTATATAGGGTCACTGTGAGTCGGAACTGACTCGATGGCACTTAACAAAAACAGCAAATAGTTCTTTTGGAGCACTAATACTGAAAGATGCAGAAAGCATTAAAAGAAGATGGAAGGAATACACAGAGTCACGGTACCAAAAAGACATGGTCGATGTTCAATCATTTCAAGTGTTAGCATATGATCAAGAGTCAATGATCCTGAAGGAAGAAGTCTGAGATACATTGAAGTCATTAGCAAAGAACAAGGCACAGGGAATTGATGGAATAAAAATTGAAATCTTTCAACAAAGTGATGCGGCACTCAAGGCACTCACTCATCTCTGCCAAAAAATTTGGAAGACAACTACCTGGCCAACTGATTGGAAGAGATCCATGTTTGTGCCCATTCCAAAGAATGGTGACCCAATGGAATGCGGAAATCATCGGACAATATCATTGACAACCCATGCGAGTAAAGTTTTACTGAAGGTAATACAGAAATGGCTGCAACCATGCATTGACAGAGAACTTCCAGAGGTTCAAGCTGGGTTCCAAAGAGGACGTTGAATGAGGGATATTATTGCTGATGTCAGATGGATCTTGGCTGAAAGCAGAGAATGCCAGAAAGATGTTTATTAACTACACAAAGGCTTTCGAGTGTGTAGATCATGACAAGCTATGGACAACATTGCGAAGTATGAGTATTCCGGAACATTTAATGGTGCTCATGAAGAATCTGTACCTGGACCAAGAGGCAGTTGTTTAAACAGAACACTGGATAGTTTAAAATTAAAAAAGGTGTGCGCCAGGTCTGTATTCTTTCATCCTACTTACTCAATCCATATGCTGAACAAATAATCAGAGAAGCTGGATTATATGAAGAAAAACATGGCATCAAGATTGGATGAAAGCTCATTAACAACCTGCGATATGCAGATGATACAACCTTGCTTGCTGAAAGCCAAGAGGACTTAAAATACCTACTGAGGAAGATTAAAGACCACAGCCTTTTGTTTTCTTTACATTGAGTTGCACCTCAATGTAAAGAAAACAAAAATCCTCACCACTGGACCAACAAATAACATTCATATAATTGGAGAAAAAATTGAAATTGTCAATGACTTCATTTTGCTTGGATCAACCATCAACACTCATGCAAGTGACTAAGAAATCAAACAACGCATTGCATTAGGTCTGCTGCACAAGACGTCTTTAAAGTGTTGAAGAGCCAAAGATGTCACTTTGAGGACTAGGATACACCTGATCCAAGTCACGATCTTTTCAGTAACCTCATAGGCATGTGACAGTTGAACAGTGAATAAGGAACACCATAGAAAAATTGATGCATTTGAGTTATGGTGTTGGAGGAGAATATTAAAAGTACCATGGACTTCCAAAAGAACAAACCAATCTGTGTTGGAAAAAGTACAGCCAGAATGCTCCTTGGAAGCCAGGATGGCCAGACTTCATCTTTCACACTTCAGACATATTGTCAGGAGGGACTGGTCACTTGAGAAGGATATCATGTTTGGTAAGGTGGAGGGTCAGAGAAAAAGAGGAGGACCCCCAACAAGATGGATTGGCAAGTGGCAGCATCAATGGGCTCAAATGTAGAAATGATTGTGAGGTTGTCGCAATACTGGGTAGTGTTTCATTCTGTTGTGCATAGGTTGACTTGATGGCACTTAACAACAACAAGAGGAAGGGACTTGGATATGTCACAATGTGACAATCCCTGCCTCCCTCACTTTTGTCTCACAGATATTTGGTTCCAAAGCTGAAAGGTCCCCTTCTGCCCTGGACCCCCTCAGCTCATCCACACCTAGCCCTGTGGACTGTAGAAAGGCTGACCACAGGAGGACCAGCCCTGCCTCCTCGCTCAGCCACTGGCCCAAGTCCCCTGAGATCAGCCTTGACACGGTGACATGAAGTCTCTGCTCAAGACGAGCGCTGTGTGTGCCAACGTTTCCTACTTAGAATCTGGCCACAGCAAGCCACCAGCCCCTTATCCACAGGCTAACTGCGTCAAAGTACCGTGTCTCCCAGCCCCTTCTCTTCTGAGGCTCCAAAACCCAGTTGCTATTGAGTCGTAGTGATCCTGTATGTGTCAGAGAAGAACTGTGCTCCACAGGGTTTTCCATGCCTGGCTGTTTGGGAATAGATTGCCAGGTTTCTCTTCTGAGGCACCTTCAGGTGGAGACTTAAATGTCCAACCTTTCTTAGCAGCCAGGCATGGAGACTGTATCACCCAGGGACTCTGACCAGTTGTCGAGTCACTTCCAAATCATGTGACCCCATGCGTGTCAGAGTAGAACTATGCTCTGTGGGGTTTCCATGAGTGACTTTTCAGAAGTAAAGCCCCAAGCCTTTCTTCCAACATACTTCTGGATGGACTCGAACTACCAATCTTTCATGCTGAACATTTAACTATTTGTGTCACACAGAGACTTCATGACCTTAGCGCCTGGGACTACACCTGTGTATGACGGGGACTGTCCTGGAGTAGCAGAGACCTCTAGGGGTCTCCTTTCTCAATGGGGAGGAAGGCACAGTCTTACTGAGCAAAGTGCAGGGACCCAGCACTGTCCAAGTGTGCCAGCACTTAGTACTTGTCTAATACTCCAGGCAGGAGCTACCACCCCATTTCACAGATGGAACAATTGAGACCAAGAGTGATGAAATAGCAGCTAGATTTGTTGCTATTATTAAGTGCCCTTGAGTTGATTCCAACCCTGAGTAGGGTTTCTGAGGAGTGGCTGGTAAGTTTGAACCACTGACCTCAGTTAGATTGTTGTTGCTGTTAGGTGTCATTGATCAGTACTGACTCATAGACGCCATATGTACAATAGAATGAAACAATGCTCGTTCTTGGCGACAATCTCACAATCATTTCTACGGTGGAGCCCATTGAAGCTGTCACTGTGACAATCCATCTCACCGAGGCTCTTCCTCTTTTCCTGTGACCCTCCCCTTTTACCAAACATGATTTCTTTCTCCAGTGACTGGTCCCTCCTGACAGTATGTCTGAAGTAGGTAAGATGAAATCTGGCCATCTTGGCCTCCAAGGAGCACTCTTGCTGCACATCTTCCAACACAGGTTGGTTTGTTCTTCTGGCAGTTCATGGAACTTTCAATATTCTCATCCAACACCAGAACTGAAATCCATCAATTCTTCTAC